TCCCCCCAGATCCGTCGTTCCCATTGATTTCTGCTCCAAATTGTTCATCCAGCCTATCTTACTTAGACAGATCTGAGGAGATAATAACATCCACAAAAACAAGACAGAGGAAAACTAAGCAACAAAACAAAACAAAATAACAACAAAAACCCACTGACAAAACAACAACAACAAAAAAGAAAAGCCTGTAGTTAGTTCAAGGAGTGTTTGTTGGTCTTTAGGAGTGTTTACTGGTCAAGTCTGATGGGGGTGCCAAGCCCTGGCCCCAAAGTCTATTTTTGATACTCCCTGGGGACTTCGTTGCTCTGTTCCCCTTGCTGTACTATTGCACACCCTTAGTGCTTTGCCTCGATGTGGTGGGATCAGATTGAACAGAATTTTCACACTGTGTCTCCAGTATTGTTCCCTGTAGGGCTATGGGTCAGTGAGGGATGTCATGTCTCATAGTGGGGCCGGGCAGATGGTCTTCTCTGAAGATTGGCTGTTCTGAGCAGGAATATCGTCCTCAAGGCTTGGTGAGCCAGGATGTGCTCCACTCTCTCTTCCTCCCCCTTCATTTGCTCCTGTGTGCTCTGATTAGACATATCCCTCTCCCTGAGCTGCAGATTCAGTGCTGTCCTCTGAAATAAATTCTTCTTGGGGGAGGGGCAAGTGTTCACGTAGTTGGGATTGGGGCCGCCCCCTCAGACCTCTTCACTGGTTCCCTACTCAATGCCGCCATGTTGCATTCACATCTTGGAGCGCTGGGTTGAAGTTTGGTCCCTCTTTCCCTGTGGAGATATACACAATACCCTCCCTTGGGTGGCTTAGTGCCCTGAACATTATAGTTTTGGGGTTTATTAAAATCATTTTATTGGGGCTCATACAACTCTTATCACAATCCACACATACATCAATTGTGTAAAGCGCACGTATACATTTGTTGCCCTCATCATCCTTAAAACTTGTTTTCTGCTTGGGTTCCTAGAATCAGCTCCTCATTTTCCCTTTTCCCCTTCCCCTCCCTCCCTGACCCCCCTCCCTCATGAACCCTTGATAATTTATAAATTATTATTTTATCGTATCTTACACTTCCCGGTGTCTCCCTTCA